GGTAAAAGTGTCAACAATTACAGCCTTATATACTGTTTCTTATGCCTGTTAAATATTTTATCAGAAAGGGACCAGCATTTCTTTCAAGAAGAAAAATACAGCAATTATCGCTTACATTTTTCTCCATTGACCACTTATGTTCACAGGTATGAACATTTGGTTCTAAACACACAAGCAGAAGAGCAGACCAATCTTCTAGTCACCATTCCCAAAATTCCAGAAACTGCCTGTTCGCGCTTGTAAAATGGCTTCCTGAACAATATATTTCAAATCTAATACATGATTTATAAGCCTGCCATCTTTCATGTTCAAAATATGATCTCCCTCCCACCACAACTTCTTTCCTATTCAAACTGTATCTAGAAGTGCAAGTTAATCCATTTGTCCATCTGGTAAAATTATATTGAATATTCATGTTGAAAGGTTTCCCCACTAACTTATTATTTTTGCATTATGTGCTTAATGAAAGTATATGTCAACCTGAAAAGTCAGGATTAAATTAAAATATTCCAAGTGAGATTTTAACTATGAATCATCTCTCTTTCCTCCCCCCTCCAGAATATAAATTAGCCATTCAGAAATGATCAAAGTTCTCATAAGAACTAGTTGAATACCTAAAATATCAGTGATTTCCACTCTAATCCAGCAATTACAGTGTACCTTTAAATTAATAAAGTCAGAATCACAGAATAATCCTCCAGATTTGATGTGCTGCCAGAGAAATTACACTCAACTTTTCCTCCACTCACTGCTTTTGACATTAATGTTTCTACTTGGGTAACACTTAGAGATACAGACACACACAATCAGGGAAACCTTTAAATAAACACAAGTCAACTTAGGGTCTACAATTCACTAAGATTTCGATGGAGCAGGGAGATGGCAGAGTTAAAGGACATTTCCAAAATGTTAGTTGTAAGCCTGAAAGAGCATCACATTTATTCCTTATGGGTTTCATCCAATACTTGAATATTGAGTATTCTATGTTCCATTGAAGGTTTCAATGGCCACTGTCTCTACTGCCATAAATTGGATACCACACCATTTATTTATTTACATAATTTCTATCTTCCACCTTTGGCAGCCTTGCCTACCTGAAAAAGTATGAAATCATTGAAGACTGGGAGAATAGAAGAATTCTTCTATCCAGTGTTATACTGTATATTTCTCCAGCATGAACACACCATCTTAATGGAGCCTACCAACACACATGAGCCTCTTCTACACACTCATAACTCCCAAGTAAGAAATCTTTGCATATACTGTGGGCTGTATAGATCTAGTCTTATTGAAAAAGCAGATCTAAAAACGTGTGAATGAGAAATGTAGCTACAATTAAAATAGATGAACTCTCAATTTCACTCAGCTTCTTAACTCCCAAACTTTAAGTTAATTCTTTTCCAGGTCTGCCTTAATCTGTATTTTTGTACGAAGTCTACAAATGTTCATGCTCATTTTTGTGCATATTTTTTTCTTAAGACATACATTTATGTTCACATATTTCTAACAGACACATATTTGCAATCAAATATGCATTTTTCCCCAAACTTGGTGAATTTTGCCTGCCCTTTTCCCTAATGATTCACTTTCTCCTGATCATTGTTTTCATTACTGAGGTGCATGACCTACTGTGGAAAAATAGGAATATTGATGAAAGCACTTTGATCCACGTGCTTTCAGAAAGTGCACATTAGAGAAGTCTGAATCTGAAAACTAATTGAAGATTTCAAGTTGAAAGAGGGAGCCCTGTGTGTAAACCCCATTCTTCTTGCAGCAGACTTACAGATGTGGTAGTCTTCCACTATCTCTTTCAAAAAGTATCAATGGCTCAAGATACCAATATTTTTTTTTTTTTAAACAATGAACGAGATCATGGTAATTCTCTATTCAGTACAATTATCTGTACCAGGCTGAAAAGTATTCATTGCAATATATGTCAAACTTTACCAACAAGACTGAATCTATACTATAAAAATGGGGATCTCAGCAGGATAGCAGCATCTTGCAATTCTCTGAGTTGAGAAGTAAGCAACGTTAGTCACCAAGGAATCCCATGGCTTTTGGCCAGACTGGGAAATCTAAAAATATCTTGAAAGGGGACAAGGACCAACAATTTCTATACTGGTGCAAAGAGAAATCCTTGGATGTGTCGATGTGGTCACCAGGAGCTCAGCTTGACTCAAGGGTGTCTCTAGCACCCTCCAGTAAGAATGATGGTCTCTTGGAACAGTGTGTTTTGAGATACTTCATGGTCTGTCCCCCTCCCTGCCCCCTTGGCTGAAGCTGAATCTACTGAATCTTAACCAATGATCAAGTGTGGTTTGGCTTTAAAATAAATAATTAAAAACCATGCATATGCAGACAATAATTGGTTAGGAAATGCAGAATAATTAAGAATGACAGTCAATCATTGTGTTATCCTGGAATGCACTTGTACTGTATCTTGACCCAGATAATACCTTCCATTTAAAACTCCATGGGTTTTTCACTGCCGTTTTATTTTCTATAGAAAGTTCAAGGAGGGAACTATGGAATTGCTGCCCAGTGCATTCCATTGTGGAGCAATTTATCTCAGAAACCCTGACATTCCTGCATAGCTTCATATGTATTTTCTGATAAACAAAAATATTTTTTTCTTAACTCTATTCTCCACATTCCAGGATAAGTATAATAGTCATCCAAAGAGAGAATCTCTGATTAATAATGAATCCCTTTAGGACAGTCCCTCATGTCCTGGTCATCTCATGATTGGGTCAAGGTGCTGTACACAGGTCTACATTTGAAGACCATCTGGAAGTTACAACTGGTCCAGAATGCAGCAGCGTGGGCAGCGTGGCATTACGCTCACATGACTTCACTGCTCCGTAAGCTGCACTGGTTACCAATTAGCTTCTTGGTACAATTCAAGGTGCTGATTATCACCTTTAAAGTCCCACACAACATAGGGCCTCGCTAATCTCCAATTGTTTCTGCCTGCTGGTACAGTCAAGCAGAACTTGTGCTCCAAGTCCTGTTGATTAAACAGGGCCATCTTACAGGATCAAGGAAGCGCACTTACTCTGTTGTCGTGCCTGCCCTCTGGAATGATATCCCCCTAGAGATTTGCACAACTACCTTATGACATACAGGAAACTATTAAAAGCTTGGTAATTCTTCCAGACCCTGGGATAAGGTAATTGTGCAGCCCTCTTTAGTTATGCTTGGTGGTTAGTCAGGATCTCTTTATA